GTGTTGGTATTCAGGGACTGAGGATTCAGGGGTTTGACAGTTCATGACACAGGCAGATCTCATGACCTCTGTGGCCATTTGTGATTCAGCTGAGACTCCCAGTGAACCTGTGAGTCCACAGTAGTGGTGAGGAGCCTTGCCTTGGAGGCACCGCCATCTCTCACCACTGCCAGTAAGCAGTTAAGTTATGCTGCTTGGAGGGAGGAAATCCTTGGGCTGTGGCGCTGCAGAAGGCCAGCGGGCTGCTGGTGGTGATGCGGAAAGATAGAATGAAGAAATTTAGTGAAAAAATGGGAAAAAGATACATTTAGGTATATACGTAGGATAGTTTGATAATTGTACTGCCAATTTCTGCTGGTCTTTGGAAAGGAGTAGTTCTTAATTTTTTTTTCTTTTTAGTCTCATTTTTTTCTTTTGAGTTTCTTACAACTTTTTTTGTTACTGTTTTTTTTTTTCTTTAAACCAGTATTGCATTTTTACTTTTGGTAACCCGAACAACTAATTTGAAGATAACATCATGCAATACAGCAGCCATTGTTGAATTCCTATTACTTTGTTTAGTGAAATTTTGTATTGTTTCTAATGCGGTTTTTTTCTATCACTATTTTGTATTCTTTAAAAAATAAAAAATAAGGGCCGGCCAAATAGCTCAGTGGATTAAATCGCCTGCAAGCAGGCACAGGGTTGATGGTTCAATCCCTGGGCCTGCTGTGCCAGCCCCACCCCTGGGGGCACTGAGACAGCATTAGACGGTGTGGTGGTGCGTGCCTGTAATCTCAGCTCTTGGGAGGCTGTAAGCAGGCGGATCACTACAAGTCTGATCTAGTAGTGAGATCTTGAACACCCTGTAGACCCTTCCCTAAAAATACAAATAAATAAATAAATAAATAAATAAATAAATAAATCATAAAAATGTAAGACAATGGCTCTCAGTATCAGTAAAATAAAACAACTAAGAAATGACCTTGGTGACAGCTTGGATCTATTGTACAAGAATGCAGGCCCAAAAAATTGGTTCAAAGGGATAAAATTTATAATTTTGTATTTAAGTGAGAAAAGTTTAAATTAATCATTATTAAAAATGAAGAGAAAGAAGTCCACATGGGAAGAGACTAGTTGATTTTTCTGCATTAATTTTTCTGAGTGATTCAGTTTTTCCTGTAACTCTTGTACCAGTTTCTGTCACCCTCTGGGCCTCTAGGAGGCACTGTTCCCTCTTAAATAATACCAAGCAGGACCACTAGATCCTCAGTTTAGTACCTGGGCCAAGACGGCTGAGGCTGGATGAGGCTTTCCTCAGGGTTCATAACTAATTGGAAACAGGGGATGTCTGGTTCCTTGTTGATCTCACAGATTTGAGGCGACCTGTTTTCAAGTTTGGGATCTGCAAGCTGGTAGGATGCCTTCTCATATGGTCCCAGCATACATTCCTGGACCTTTTCTTTTCTTTTTCTTTTTCCTTTTTTTTTTTTTTTTTTTTCTTTTTTTTTTTTTTTTTTTTTTTGGAGGAACCAGGGATTGAACTCAGACCCTTGTACTTGCCAGGCAAGTGCTTATTCTACTGAGCCATCTCCCTGCCCCCCCGGACCTTTTCTTCTCAGACTGTTTCATCCTTCCATTTCTCTTTGGGAGGGAGATTCCTGAAGTGCCGACCCAAGAGACTGAAGTACAGAGAGCGTGTCTCCTCTGCTCTCCTGATAGCCGCCTAGTTCTGCCTCCTACATCTTGTCTCAGGGAGACTCACCTCTGCCTCTAGGAATGGAGCTTTATTGTGGAGACAAATACCATTCTTGAGCTCTAATATTAACATAGGAGATTTAAAAAGAATTGTGGCAATTTTTTATACCAATGCAGTGTCTGATATATGTGCAAGACAAGGTCTGTACCACTGAGCTACTTCTCCAGCCTCGAGAACGTTTCCTTTCATTCCTTGTTAGTTGAAAGATTTAAAAATCAATAATAATTGAGATGATCATATCACACATGCTTGTGTATATACATCAATGTATATTAATGGTGAAAGTATTCATCAGTTTATATACATCAATGTATATTAATGGTGAAAATATTTATCAGTTTTTCAAGGTAAGCCCAAACTTTCATTTATAGGATAAAGCCCTCTTGGTCATTTATAGCTGCAATGACAAAGTTCCCCAAATCAGCAGGCTTAAAAAGGTAAAAATGTGTATTCTCATATTCCTGGAGGCTAAGAGTCTGGATTCAAAGCGTCTAGGGAGTAGCAGTTACCCTAGAGAGCAGGGAATAGCCTTCCTCATATGTTCCAAGCAGTCACTGGAGACCCCTGGCCTGTTCATCTCGTGCTCCCATCTCTCCTTCTGCCACTGTACCATGCTTTCCACCTCAATGCTAATTCCCATTTCTGTAGAAGGTCACCAGGCTCATGATAATCCACTGTGACCTTATCTCAAGTTGTTCGCAGGTCTGCAAAGGTTTTATTTCTAAATAAAGTGACCTTCACAGGCTTCAAGGTTTGAAGATATCTTGTTGGGATACAGAATTTTACCTTCTAGAGTTAGGAAGTATTATTTAAAAAATAGATATAATGTTGGGATCAATTTGTTAAATGCTTTTATGATTATGAGCAATATTGCTTATAGATTTTTTTATAATATGGTACTGTTTTTGGTGTTATGCTGTGCACAATGTTAGATTCATGGGACATGCTATGAAATGTCTTTTCCTCTCCTACTTGTGGGAATCAATTTTATTGAATTGGTAATATTACTCTTTTAAATGTTAGACAGGATTCTCCAGCGTGGCTGTTTGGCTGTGAAGTTTGCTTCTTAAAATGAGTTTCGAGCTACAAATTCACTTCCTTTAATGGACATTGAGCCATTTCGATCTCTGGTTTCTTCTTGAATGAGCTTTTATAGCACGTGTCTTTCGAGTTCTTGGACCATTTCATCTTGGTGGTCGAATTTACAGGCATGAATTTGCCTTATTATCCTTTTAGTGTCTGAAAGCCTATAGTGAGTCTTGATCTGGATAATTTATGTTTTTTTTTTTTTTGGTCAGCTGAGCCCACCCTGGGGGTGGTTCTTGTGCTTTGCCTAAGCTTGCCTAAGCAGGTGCTGTAGACTGCTGAGCTATCTCACTGGCCCCTTGATCTGGATAATTTATTTATATATTTTGGACTTTTATTTTATTAATTTTTTTAAAAAATAATTTTATTGAGAAACAAATAACAATGAGACAGTTTCAGAACCGATTACTAGCACAGTTTCAGTACTTAATACATTGCATATTGTTGTTTATTCATTGTACAAGATGCAGACATGATATCCTGCCCACAAACACTATTAGAACAAATCTCTCTATTCATTCAATTAAGAGAATGCAGCTGTATATGTATCCTAACTATTTTGAGCATCCAGATACAAAATGGTAGTTCAAAATTTAAATTAACTTTTAATTCTTTTTTTTTTTTTTTTTTGGCAGAGCTAGGGATTGAACTCAGGCCCTTGTTCTTGCCAGGGAAGTGCTTATTCCACTGAGCCATCTCACCAGCCCCATTTTTTTTTTTTTAAAGAATAGATTTATTTATTTATTTTTTGGCAGAGCTAGGGATTGAACTCAGGCCCTTGTGCTTGCCAGGGAAGCGCTTATTCCACTGAGCCATCTTCCTGGCCTCCTATAATTTTTGTAGTTTTCTTTCTTTCTTTCTTTCTTTCTTTCTTTCTTTCTTTCTTTCTTTCTTTCTTTCTTTCTTCTTTCTTTTTTTTTTGGTGTAGGGGAACCGGGGTTTGAACACAGACCCTTGTGCTTGCCAGAGAAACACTTATCCTACTGAGCCATCTCCCTGGCCCCTGTTTATTTAAGAGATAGATTATTCTGGGTAATGGTGTTATGGCAGGTGACAGTTTGGAAAAGCACCCATGAGGGAGACCAACAGAGTAGGAACAAAGAAGCTTTATTGGAAGTCTATGACTGGCATTCTGATGCTGAGTCAGGAAAACAAAATGTTGGTGCCCATTTGGACTTTATCTCTAGGTTATACACTTCCTGTGTTTCCATAGTAACCATATTATCTCATTCTCATGAATTTTACAAGAATGTATGAGGTTTACATTTCCCAGACACTGCTGGTCATGGGAGTTTGTGGTTTAACATTTACCTTAATTCCCAATTTGTACTAGCTATTTGTTTGTTTTCATCTTTATGACCTTTTTTTTAAAAGTGGGTTTATAGTTAGCTACTTGGGGAGGAGGGGGGAAGTGAATTTATATACAATTTAAATGAGCTTAAGTGACTTCAAAATGCTGTTACAAAAGAAAATGGAGTCTCTTTTGCCTTGCCAATGGTATGATTTTGTGCGTCTTCTCAAGGTGCATTGGTGAACCCTACTTATTGGTTGTTTCCTGTTTCTTCCTTCCTTCCTTCCTTCCTTCCTTCCTTCCTTCCTTCCTTCCTTCCTTCCTTCCTTCCTTCCCTCCCTCCCTCTCTTCTTTCTTTCTTTCTTTCTTTCTTTCTTTCTTCTCTCTCTCTCTCTCTCTCTCTCTCTCTTTCTTTCTTCTCTCTCTCTCTCTCTCCCCATCTTGCCCTGTTTCCTCAGTTTCTATTGTAATTTTTTATTTTACTTCTCCTATTTCCTTTATTTATCCTTGTCATATTTTAGTGTTTCAAGATGAAAGCTGAGATGATTGATTTGAAATTATATTCTTTTCTAATGCTATGAATTTCTAAGTACTGCTTTGTCAGCAGACTCTCCATTTTTATATTTTATGTCTTTACTTTCTTTCCATTTAAAATACTTTCTAACTTTCCATGTGAAATATTATTTGACATTTAGAATACTTAGAAATATGTTGTTTAGAGAGCGACCTGCCGCGCGCCTGCCCGCCGCGTCTGGGACTATGGTGCTTCCGAACATCTTGATCACCGGCACACCAGGCGTTGGAAAGACCACACTAGGCAAAGAACTTGCATCCAGATCAGGACTGAAATCCATTCATGTGGGTGATGTAGCTCCAGAAGGCTGATCGGCGGATACCACGGAGTCTGGCAAGATGGCTTCTCCCAAGCGCATGGCGCAAGGTGCACAGATGACGGCGCAGACCCGGAAGGATATGGGATCACAGAACATGAGCCGAGAGTTATAAGTCAGATGCTGGAGTTTGCCTTCCGATATGTAACCACAATTCTAGATGGTGCTAAAATTGATTCAAGCCATGCCAAAAAAGTCACTGTCGGCGCCGATGATGTGCGACTGGCGATCCAGTGTCGGGCAGACCAGTCTTTTACCTCTCCTCCCCCAAGAGATTTTTTGTTAGATATTGCAAGGCAGAGAAACCAAACCCCTCTGCCGTTGATCAAGCCCTATTCAGGCCCTAGATTACCGCCTGATCGATACTGCTTGACAGCTCCAAACTACAGACTCAAGTCTTTACAAAAAAAGGCATCTACTTCTGTGGGAAGAATAACAGTTCCGCGGTTGAGTGTTGGTTCAGTCACTAGCAGACCAAGTACCCCCACGCTAGGCACCCCAACCCCACAGGCCATGTCTGCCTCGGCCAAAGTAGGGGCGCCAGTGTCCCTCGCTTTGCAGAGGTTTACAGTGCAGAGGCCGCCCTCGCAGGCCCCTGCTGTCAAGGCCTCCATTCCTGCCACTTCAACAGTTCCCAATGTTCTGATTGATCCATCACTAATTGGGTCCAAAAACATTCTTATTACCATTAATATGGTATCATCGCAAAATACTGCCAGTGAGTCATCAAGTGTGTTGAAAAGGAAGCGCGAAGAAGATGGTGATGACGGTGATGACGATGAGTATAATCTGTAGTTGGGCTTGAGCCGAGCAGCGCATGCAGCCGGCCCGCATCCGGGTACTGAGAGTCCGCATGCTGGATGTTTGCAAGTTCTGTTCTCTAGCAAATGTGAGTAGTTTTAATGAGTAAATTTAGACACCATTCTTTTTAAGTGAAATGTTGCGTTTTCTTGAATAGAAAACATGGTTTTTCATCAACCTTTATGTGTAAAAAATAAAGTTTTCATTCAATTTGAAAAAAAAATATGTTGTTTAGTTTTCCAAGTACTTGGGGATTTTGAAAATATCATTGTTATTGAATTCTAATGTAATTGTTTAGTTGAAGAACATACTTTGAGTTGATGGCTTCAACTTTATTGCTCTATAATTCAAGCTATTGTCAAATATGCTATGTGGCCCAGGCTGGTCTGGAGCTTATGAACCTCCTGCCACAGCCCAGAGAGTGCTGAGCATACAGGTTTCCACCCTTGTGCTTGCCACTAATGGCTCATAATGTGGCATGCTTAATGTTTCGTGTACACTCAAAGGTGTTCATTCTGTGCTATTTCTGGATTGCATGTTCCATAAGGACAATGAGATCAAGTTGATTGATGCTATTTTCAGATTGCCTCAATCCTTCTTGTACTATCTCTTTTTCTGTTTATGTTTTTACTATCAATCATTAATAGATAAAACTGAGGCGTCCAACAGTGGGATTATCTCGTGGTCCCCATAATTCTTCAAGTACTCTGATTTCTCCTTCTCATACTCCTCTTTCTCTGCTTTATGGGTAGACATTGAGGATGGCTGTGTCCACTCAAGGAATGTACTCTTGGTTTCTGTTGTCACTGTGGATTATTAGTACTGTTGTGGCATTGCAGGTTTTTTTCTGTAATTTTAAGTTTGACATCAGTCATACTTAGTGTAATTTTAAAAGTTCAAGCATTGTAATTTTCCTTTCTAAAACTCTGATTTTGGTCTTATTAATGTTGTCCTTGTGTTTATTCAGTGTTTCGGGAAATGGGATGTAGTTACTATAGCAGTTGCTCTATTGTTCTTGTCTGATAGTCCTAACATCCTTGCCAGTTTTGGTTGTCTTCAGCTGGGTTCACCTTATGACTGTCGTCTTCTTGATTCTTTGCATGTCTGGTGACTTCTGGAGGCCAGGCACTGTGCATTTGACCTTATTGGGGGTTTTCCTACTACTATTCTTTTTTACAAATAATTTTATTGAGAAACAAATAGCAATGAGACAGTTTCAAAACCGATTAATAGGGCAGTTTCAATAATTAAGGGCTGGGGAGATGGCTCAGTAGAATAAGTGCTTGCCTGGTAAGCACAAGGGCCTGAGTTCAATCCCCAGTTCCTCAAAAATAAATAAATAAATAAATAAATAAATAAATAATAATACATTGCATATTGCTGACTTCTTAGTAGTTTTTCATAGTACTGGTTTTGCTGTTGCAGTCAGTTGAGATGCTTGGGAACCCTTTTAGGTCTTTGTTTTAAGATCTGCTTGCTAGGATAGTGCAGTTTTCACCTAGGGCCAATTGTTCCCCACTCCTGGGACAGAACCCCTTTGAAGATGCTATCTGGTACCCCCCTGAACTATGAACTACTCCAGGGAGAAGGAGTTTGGGGGTCTGTCAGGATCAGTTCCTTATCATGCTCATGACTGGGACATCCTGTAGGAAAAATACGAGAAATCAGCAAGGGAGGGGCAAAAGCAAATTAGCAAAGCCCGGAGAAGCTTCTAAGAATCCTGTCACAGGACTGATTCCAACAGCAAGTCATGTGGCTCGAGATGCGAGCCCTTGCCTTCTAGGGTGGCTCCATGGAGACTCAGCAGCTGAGGCTTTCACGTGGGCTGTTCCTGTCGGCCTCTTCCACCTAGCATATGCCACGTGCCAGGCACCCAGAAGCAAAGTCAGTGATCTTTCAAACTATTGTTTTAGTCCTCTTTTCTTTTCATTCAAGGAATTAGACACCGCAGGGCTTTTGAAGGTGTAGCTGGATGCTAACCTAAGCTGGCTTGGCTTACACAACTTTTCTATTTTACAATGGTCAAAAGTTTTACACACTCTCTAGAAACCGCACTTCCAACTATGAATTTTGATCTTTTCCCAGATGAGTGATCTCTGGTAAGATACACTCTCATGGCCCAGGCAGGGGCAGTGGGCTGCAGCGCCAAGTCAGCCAGGCAGCCATGAGGGGAAGTCGCTGGCGCTCTGCCATGTGCTCCTATGATGCTCTGTGGGGTAGGTGAATCAAGTGCACTTTGGACTTACAATGTTTTCAAGTTATGGTGGATTTTTTGAGACATAACTCAATTACAGGCTGAGAATCACCTGTCTGTGTTACCACAAGGGTCAGAAAACTTTTCTTGCAGAGGACCAGATATTATAAATTTTGTCTGCCAAGCAGTCTCTGCCTCAACTACTGGATGCTATTCGTCTTAGTTGTTTCCTCTTCACTGGAGATGATGCCTGGCACACACAGCACTGAGGATGGGAGGTTTATTTCGATTTCATTCACAGTCCAGGGTTGGAGGGCTTTAAGGCAGAGGCAGCATGGCAGAAGGGCCTGGCAGAGGAGAGCTGCTCACATCATAGCAGACAGGAAGTGGAGAGAGCAGGGAAGAGACAGGCAGGAGCTAGGCTCCTCCAGGCCGGGTCCAGGTGACCTCTTTTCCAACCAAATCCTGACTCCTCTCAGTACATTTAGCTGTGGGTGCTTCAATAGATGAATCCACTGATGAGCACACCACTATCCAGTCATTTATAAAAGCCTCACCTCTGAGTACATGAGATTTTCGGAGGAGCATTCTAGATCTAAACCAGAACACCACTGTTGTAACACAGAGGTAGCTAGACATGATGTAGGCAGTTGAGTGAGGTTGCATTGCTATAGAATTTATTTAAAAGAGCAGGTAGGAGTTTGCTTTCCCTGCAGACCCCACTTGGTCACCTCCCCACATCACACAGTTCCTAGGAATAGTCTCCTTTTGCATTAACAGCACAAATTTCTTACATGTTTGCTTTAAGTGCCAGGTTTCTGGTGATGACAATGACAAGAGGGGGCACACTGGCTGCAGAGGTAGACTTCAGTGGCTAAGGACTTAATACCTAAGGTTTCTTTATAATGACACTTACTCACTGCTTTTTAATAGCTTGTTTTGTCCCTGGACATTTCTGCACCATTAGCAGTGCATCATGTTAAGCTCAGGAAGGGGTGAGAAACATGCATTCTTTGACAAAATGCAGGACAGAAATTATGGAAAGGGAAAGGAGGAAATAACCTGCACCTCGGGGACAACCTTGGTCTCAAGTGATCACATTAACAAAGCGTTCACCTTCCATGGAAGGTGAGCGGGAACTGCACTGGTCCTGCCCAGGCTTTGGCGTTCTTTTACCCACTGACAATTCTAGTGACTTCAGCATTGTATTTGTTTGGATTTCTGAAGAACTAGGCAACTTCCTTTCTCTTTGCCCACCAGTTCACCAAGTTAGCACTCATGTTGTAACCTTCACTCTGAGCACTTCTCAGTGGTGTTTATTCATGCTGAGTTTGAACATTGTCACCTTATGTCCTGAGCATCTGCAGAAGCTACAGCTGCTTTTCATCCCGTCAACCCACAGGGGAAGTGCAGCACTGACAAACATATCCACAGTGTTGGACTTACTACAACTTTGTGAAAATTTGGTAAAATTTTGGGAAGATTTAAGAAGTCACAAGGAAGGACTATATCACATACTTTTGCCTACTAAACCATTTATGCTCATTTCCTGAATTGAAAATGAGTGATAGTTACTACAGACCATTGTTGTAAAGCTTAAGTAATAATTTCATTATTACCCAAGTTCTTACCTCCACCCTCTCTCCTCAGTTTTATTCCTTCAAGATTGTTATTGTGGGGACTATATATTTTTATTTTCCTCTTTAGCAGGGCTTTATGGAAACTTGGGGACAGGGGCACATACATGCACCACAGTGACTTAAGTGCTTAAAACTGTGTCTCTCAGAACTCTGTACCAGCCATTAGGAGGACATCCCTGAGCACTGCTGATCCCTGTGTGTGAGTCTCCCAGGCCTGGTGTTTATGTCTACTTCTGTCAATACAGTGTGCTGGTCCTGGGAAGTTGACCTGTTGATGATAACTTTCTTCTACTCCAAGCCCAGCAGTGAGGACTGGGAAATGTTGCTCTAGGAGATACTTTGAGGAAGAGCCGAACTGTATTTACTGACTAAGAAGTGATCTTACCTCATCTCAGGTTTCTCAGAAACCAGAGCAGATGTTTGGCACAAAGGGTCACTGGATGAATGTTTCCTGGGTAAAACAGCATAGCATTTAGGCCTGCTTATTATATTTCTTTCTCAAAATTAATGAGAGGCTATGAGTTTCCTGAATAGTACTCATAAATGGATTATTATTTTCAACATGAAGGAGGATGGTGTAGTGGGAGAGGAACAGGTCTCTTGCCACAGTTTCCTGGTTCTCAGTCAGACTATGTCTACTCTGGAGCTCAGTGTGAGGGTAGTTATAATGTCCATCTCCCTGGGTGCTGTGAGAATGAATGAGACTGTACATGTTCAGCAGAATGCCTGGCACACAGAAAGTAGTCTACAACAGCAGCTATCATTTATTTCTTAATTTTTTATTTATTTGATACAGGGTCTTGTTACACAGCTCAGACTCATAGTGATTCTCCTGTCTCAGCCTCCCCATCACCATGCTCTGTTTTTGTGGCCAGCATGGCATGCCTGGGGTTCTTGGGTTGGTATGGTATGTAATACTGGGGATCGAACTTGGATCCTTGCACTTGCCAGGCATGCACGTAGACTGCCAAGCTATCACCCTAGCCCCAGATGGTGTTATTTATCTAGTCAGTATTTCTTTAAAAAATTTATTTAACTATAATGCACTTACATTTGTTTCTGAATTGACTTCCATCTATTTTGATACATCTTTTCCTCATGGTGATTTACAAGGTCTTCAAGCCAATATAAATATTTTATAAATATTTTGGTATTTGTGTATACACCTGCATAATAACTCAGCAATATCTTTCAGGAAGAAAAAAACTCAAGGGTAAAGACTAGACGCAATTACTAGGTGCAGTAAAGACTAGACGCAATTACTAGGTGCAGTGAAAGTCTGCTGCAAATATTTCTGAGGTAAGAAGGCACCATATATCTGTTCAACTACGAAAACCACCCTTACAACACAGGATGAAT